CAGAAGCAGATGATTGCCCCAATGACCAGCTCAGTCAAGTCAACGACTAACTCTTTGAGTTCCCAAGTAACAACGCATACTAAAACATCTAGCCACTGCAACTACAAATTTAGTTGAAAATTGATGTGAAACTGATTTTCCGTTCGTCTTTGAGCATCGCCTGCCAAATTGAATGAGCTAAGTGTGAGAAATGGGGAAAAAATGGGGAAAAAAGACATTTGCGAAGGTAGACAACTAGAAAAAAAATACATAGGGAAAAAAAGGATTAGATGACCAGGATTATAAGCAGTCTCTCTTTCTCTTCTGTCTCTCTACCCCTCTCTCTCTCTCTCTCTCTCTCTCTCTCTGTGTCTCTCTTTCTCTATGTCTCTTTTTCTCTCATTCTCCATATATGTCATTTCCAATCTCTTTGAGACTTTTTGTGCTGTATCTATAATCTCCCCACTTTCTCCGCCATTCTTTGTTTGTCGATCTCACCCCGCCTCTCGTCTCTTGTCTGTTTCATCCCACCTCTCGTCTCTCCCCACCTCTCTCCGCATCTTTTTGCTTCTGTCTGTCTCTTCTTCTCTCTGTGTCTCTTCATCTGTTCCATCTGTCTGCTTGTCTCTCTGCGTGCCTCTCTATCTCCCTTTCCTCACAGACTGTATGCCAACCAGTATAACCACAATCACCTCTAACAAAGAACACACAGCACGACTGTATATCGGCTCTACATATGTAGAGTACTTATACCGGTATAACTTGACAACTCTGGAAGTGAGCAGAGCAGGACATTCACTTGTCCTGTTGCTGTCAGAGTCAGAGATAACAGACCCTCAGGTTGACGTAGAAGGCAATAGAAAACCACCATATTTTCACCCTAATCGAAACGGTTCTTTTATTTTATTTCACCCCATCTGGGGGTGTTAGTGCTAACTGGTGTTCACTTCACACACTATCACCCCTGTACTATTCCCTTGTACTGTTCGACTTTTCCGGAAACTCCCCACGAAATCTCGGAGTTCCCGAGATGGGATGAAGTAAAGGAAAAGAATCTTCCAAATAGTGACCGAGATATGCGGAGAGACATAAGCGCCTACGCCGCTGGACAGGGCACGTGATGATAATGGCAAGTCAGGGTTCCTCTCCTATTCCGTCTCCAGCAGGCAACCTCGTAATTCTTTCAGCCTGAGACTCCAGCGAGGGGGGGGGGGGGGGGGGGAACAAGTGTGTGCCACCTCCGCGATGAAAGTTAGCTATAATGAATTAATCAAGTAACAGAAAGTGTATTGATCGGCACTCATAGAAAGAAGTAGAAAGATAGAAGAACACACTAGACAATATAAAAATCGAAGGCTATAGTTACCGTGCCGGGAATTGAACCTGTCACCTCCAGGCGGCGTGTGCGCCTCGCCATGGATACAAGTGCACTAAGAACATGATCAACTAGGCACACCCCCCCCCCCAATGGTGTCTTATTGGTCATGTCTATCGTACAGCTTGAAATCCACAACTATGGAATACGGACAGAATTCATTTCAAACCATCTACAACGTTTTCACTGATGTAGGAAATACTACATAGTGACGGGATCCTCGAGTGCTGGAGGTCCCGGGTTCAGGCCTTGGTGAAGGCAGGAATTTTTGACGTGGACTTCTAGTGATTTCACCAGGTCTCTGGGTGGTAAGATTGGACGCCCGTGTGTATTGTTAGGGACGTAAACAAATCCTTGGCATTTGGAAGTCGAGAAAAGTAGTCTAACGGCGCTGCCCGGGCAAAATTTTGAGTTAAAAATCTACCCAAAATATTTCAAGATCCTCGCCGGTGCTACGGAGTTTTTGCACTGCGCTGAGATTCTTCGGACTCAGACTTTAGTTAGAAGAATAACGGAACAGTTATAGCTTACTACCCTTGTGCCGTGATGTTAATCCGTTGTTTAAAATGTGAAACTTAAACATGGTGAAATGCTCCTCTCATCCGTGGTTCCACTGTTGTACAGCTCTCCGAAAACCAGGAGAACGGTTAAGCAACACAAACCATCAGCTGCGGACATTGAACCCTCGTACTTGAGGATGATGAAGTTGTTAACCGCATTCACTAACCGCTACAGAACCACACAAAACTCTTAAGAGGCAGCCTTGTAATTCATTCACCCTGAGACTCCAGTAGGTAACCTTGTGGCCCTCCCCCACCGCCTCCCTCCCAACCCCCGAGACTTGAAGCAAGGACATGTTATGTTTGATGTAGGCACACAGCCTTATCCCCCAGATCTGAGCCAATTTACGGACAATGGTAGCAAAGGTATTTGGTCTCATTTAACGTAGACGACAAGACCTTGCTTGGAGCATGTGGGGACTTTAAACCGTGTGCCTCACTTGCAGGTTTTAAACACTATATCTCCATATGAACATTGCTTATTTCAGTTTAGTTCCAGTAACCTTAGTGTGTGCCCCCCCCCCCCCCCCACCCCAATTCAGTTGCAGTAACCTTAGTGTGTGCCCCCCCCCCCCCCCAATTCAGTTCCAGTAACCTTACTGTGTGGCCCCCCCCCCCCCCAATTCAGTTTGCAGTAACCTTAGTGTGTGCCCCCCCCCCCCCCCATTCAGTTCCAGTAACCTTACTGTGTGGCCCCCCCCCCCCAATTCAGTTCCAGTAACCTTAGAGCGTGCCCCTCCCCCACCCCAATTCAGTTTCAGTAACCTTAGTGTGTGTTCTCTCCCCATCCCTCTGTCCCCCTCTCCCCCACCCTCTGCTTTACATCCCTCTAAAAGTACCGGAGGGCTTTGGGAAATGCCATTCTGGTCTCAAGACTCAACTAAGGGAAAACCCAACCTGCACCTCCACGCGGTAGAGGATGGTAAACACACTGCGGTGTGGCAAACTATGGCAGCTATGGGGACCGTGTATCCATCGTGATAAGCGGACACCTCTGGGAGGCTCTCTTTCCTGTTAGCAGGAGCATCACAGAGCAGGGCATTTACTTGCCCTGAAAATCTAAAATATTGCCAAAGGCTTAGGACATAGTCTAAAGCCATGTGGATGTGGAGAAGCCAGGGGAAGCTACCACATTATTATCCCAAGAAACTCACTGTGGACATCTTGGTGTCATATCAAGCGCCTTGTCGGATTGGGAGGATGGCAGAGCTGGCGAGAGACCGAGTTTCTTTCAGGCCATGACGAGAGCTACGTTCTGCAAAGGACCTGCTACATGATGATGATGACTTTACACCTATCATGGGTGACGAAATCTAAAGGGTAAGCCCCCCCCCCCCTCCCACTACCCAAGAAGAATGTTCGGGACGAGGGGGTGGTCAGCCTTTACAGAAACTATAATCGGGACCCAGGAGTCCTCCTAACAATGTAAAGGAGTTATTTTGATTTTTTTAAATATTTGTTAATGAATGTTATATTATTTCAACTTTATGTGAGGACCCTTTGGGAGCGAGTTAACAGTGTGGAGGCACAAATGGATCATTACGGTCTGAGGAGAATGGCGCTGCGAGGATTTACCAGGGGATCTGGCAGACGCTCAACACTCAGGGAAAGGACTAGACGGATATACAATCAGACAGTTACTGGTGCCATCGGAATTTGAACTCTTCTCTTGCTGCTGAAGATGGGGACGGAGCGCTTATGGGAGTGTCCCGAGTTCTATGAAGTTGATTCTTAATTCAACATTCAACTATATTAAATTGGTGGAGAACAGAAAGTTGGAAGATACTGATTTTTGCTGCCGCTATTGTTCTGCTAAATAATAACAACAATGACATACAAAGAAAAACAGATGATTTAGCATAGCAAATATAGCATGGATTTTTGGACTACAAATAAGCTATGAACAGACAGATATACTGAAGGCACTAACAACAGATCAAGCAGATGTAACACCAGAGACAAAAGTAATTAAAAGTAACAGATCAGTTTTCTTCAGGTATCCGGATATTCCCATGAACCCATTTTAGGCTTGAGCGACCGAAGGGGCCACACCACATATTAGTACAGCCAGAGAACGCTAAGAAGAAGAAGAAGAGGAAGACGAAACAGAAGAGAAAGAAGACAAAGAAAAAGAAGAATCCACATCAAAGCAGAATTTTTTTTTTCAAAGTGACTTTGGATCTCACGTAGGCCCAAACTAAAATTACCACCGCGAGATGTCATGAGAAGTAAAGGCGGTCGGTTTGATGTTTGCCATACCACCCATGGCGTACAGATTGGTCTATAAATTACCCATCATATGCTTGAGGCTCCGTTGATGTGAACATGATGCTGTACTATTTTTACTTTTTTTTTTTTAAACACATGTATCAACATTGTATAGCATGCCGTACACAGTACACAGAACATCGCTCCCATCCAAGTCTTTCTGGGGAAAAAAGGTTTGTCCCTTACTAGCTCTTCAGCCTCGTATACTTTTCTGTCCAAGCTTTGGTGAAAGTAACGCTAATCTCTCCAAATTGAGTAGGTCACTTTTCATTCACAAGTTTGTTGGGCTGGTTGACTTTCATGAAGGTTACGGGTGTGTCCCGCTCTGCTTTCGGCGTTGTCTTGCATTTATGTTTTCATTCCGAGAAAGAGAATGCCTGTGGCATTGGCTGTAGGACTCTCTAGTAGGGTTGTGTTGGAGCCAGCTTCTCCGTGTTTTTTTTAGAGTTAAAAGCGCTGCTGTGCTGAAATATACATCACGTGATATCAACGGCATTGAGGAACACCCCCGTAATCTTAGGCCAAGGTAACAAGTTCAGGAACTACCAATCAGAAGTGAGCTAGTGTGTATATGGGTGGGGCGTGGAGAGACTAACGTTATGTGTACCTAAGCTTTATTTCATGTATCCATCTTCATGCTGGTCAGCCCCTGCCTCTCGTTCCTGGTACCGTGCTCTCCGCTGCTGTTCTTTCCAACCCACCGCAGCGTTTGATATGCCAAAGTATTTCAGTTTCCGAGACAAGGTGCCAATTTTACTTGATGTTCAGATCTTTTAGGAACCTATTTATATAATATTATAAAATTTGTTTGTCTTCAGCAACAGGAACAAGATCCTACCAACCTGTACATTGCCAACCTTCCCGTTTACTTTATGGAAAAAAATCTAGAAAACATGCTAAAGGAATACGGGACAGTTATCTCCACCAGGATACTCCGCAAACCGGATGGCGTCAGCCGAGGTGTAGGATTTGCCAGGATGGAATCAAAAGACAAATGTGACCTAATAATTAATACGTTTAATAACAAGATGTTGACAGGTGAGTGCCACTTTGGATTTCTTTATAATTTATTTTTAACGTAAATGCCCGCCATTGCTGATCCCAAAAGCGGGTAAAAAAAGCAGGAGTGCTGGACATGGGGTCAGCGACTCCACCCTGCGAAATCAGTTGTGTTACAGAATTTCACATTAAATGAACTGATAAACATTAAATGGGCTTAAGGACAGGAAAGAAGTAGGAGAAATGTCTGGATAATTGCTAGTATCAACAGTTATGAGAAAAAGAAGATGGCAATATATTGTGTACAACATAAGGAGAAATAGACAGAGAATTACTGAAATGGCAAACAAACAACTAACATTTTTTTTCAGAGAGGCCAACGGTGTTGAGCTGGAATATGTCCATCATGTTGAAAGGACTGCTCAGGATAGGATGTAATGGACTAGACTGTGAGCCCTATGTGACATAGAACTTTATAACCGCACCTCAAGATGATGATGATGATACAATGCATTATTTTCACTTATATTAAATTTTATATTGGCAAATTTATAGTTTTAAAAAGAATTCTAAAGAGACCTATATTTTATCGACCAACCGGCACTTGGTAGGTGACGTGGTCAGCATCATGCTGGCCGAATTACTCCCCAGGATTGTACTTGGTACCTACTCAAGGCTGGGTCCACCTGGGAGCCAAGGTTATATTTTTTTTAAATGTCAGGTACTGTGAGGACCCCAACTCATGACCTTCTGATCGGCTGGTCAGCGTCTGTCTGCTAGATCACCACGGTACCCAAAGATGCCTTTATTGCAACAAATATCATCATCATCAATCAGCAGGTCCTTCACAGAATGTAGCTTTTTTCATGTCAAGCTTGAAAGTCTCTGTATGTACTTCTCCAGCCCCATGTGCTTTATGAACCAGTGCATCTTTGATACTTGTGTCCACCATCACAGAAGTTAGCCTCTGCATCATTTTCTAGAAACTGTCCCCTCCATCACCACTCTCTGCGGGCAACCATCATGCTCAGCATGGCCAAAATACCGTAAATATCACCTACACAAAACAACAAGCATGCATTTCAAGTTGAACAAACAACTTGAGGGAAACACAGAGAAACGTTTACACAGCTTAACAAAAATAATTGACCAAGTGTATGCTTTATCTGGCAGATTTTTTTTTTCTCCAAAGGGATGTAAAGATAATAAAAGGCATTAATACATCACATGCATTGATAGATCTAATCTGAGTAAAGCTTTTAGGGTAAATCTGAAAAACCTCAGTGCTATAGAAACTACAAAGGTGTTAACTTTATAGACAGTTTTTGTAATGCTATTTGTGTGTTTTAAATTTCAGCTAGTTACAAGAAGAAAACTGTTGTAGGGATGTAAAATGATTTAGCCTCATATACTAGGTTACATTATGTTTCCCAAGTATTCAGAGTGTATATAATCTCATCATCACCTTGTGGGATGCAATTTTTAGTTATTTTGAAGCCCCACCTTGGCTTTTACTGACGACCCTAAATATAGCCAGGCCTGAAATATGGCCTAACAGCTGAACGGGGTTTCCGGGACCTCTCCACGGGTGATCCTCATCCACATGGTGGCGTTTTGTGTCACCGGGTGTTTATCGCTTGTGTAATGTACTGGTGGGGTACAACCTACATACATACATACAAGTATCCAGAGCCCTTGAAGTTCATTGCTGCAGATATCTCCCAGCTCCATTTATCTTTTGATTGGCCATCTCTTTCCAGTTTGGGACTCCAGGTGTTTGCCTGTCTGTCTGGATGTTATCTCTCCACTGTCATCTTGGTCTGCCTCTGGGTCCACTTCCATTCAACACCCTTGTGTACACAATTTTTGTCTCTCTGTCATCTGCCATTCTCTTTATACACCCCAGTCATTTCAGCTCTCATGGTGCCAGTGACTAATGGTGATCTGACCCAATAGTGATTTAGTATATGGTAAAAGTAATCTAAAGTAATGGATCTTTTACAACAGTAGCACATCAGCATATAGTGCTAGACTCATATTTTTATATACCAATCAGCCATTGATGGGTCATATGGTCAACACTGGGGCAGGAATTTTATTTAACAAGGAAATTTCCTTAACCCCATTTTTGGTGGTGTTCCGACCTGAGAGCCAAGATTAGTTTTTCATAAATCTGGATTTGAACCCAAGGCCTTCTTTATACCCCACTGGAACCTAGACACTCAGCCAACTCACACCAAGTCATATTTTGCCAATTCTTGCATCTCTTTCTATGCCCTCCTCATATTCTTTTCCTTGTCTCTATTTGTACTATCCATGTGTTTTTAACTCTTACTTCATAATACTGTGGTTTGGGCATTGTGAACACACTTTGTAACTCTGAGGTGCAGGGTTTGATTAAATCTGCAATTGACTTGGCAGCAGACCATATTGCATTGGTTTCAACAATGATATTGAGAGCCAACTATTAGGAAAGGAGTGGCAAACTACTGGACATAAAAATTACCTAGTGAAATCACAATTAGCCAAAAATGAGGCGTTGGTTCTGCAACCTCCTATGAAGGACATGCAACTAACTTTTAAAGCTTGTTGTGGGTAACACTAAAACTATAATAATTGAAACTTTGCTCCCTTATTTATTACCTTCAGGCTGCATTGAACCGTTGTTAGTTAAGATTTGCTGATAGTGGGAACAAGAAGAAGACAATGCCAACTGCTCTAACACCTCGACTGTTCACGCCAGGAAGAGATGACGCAAGTATCACAGTAAGTCTCTTATTGTCTTCTTCTTTACCTCATCTTTTCTTTCTTCAGTTACCTAAGTAAAGTTTTTGAGGGAAGGGGGAGGTAAATGTAAGAATCTTCTATGTGCTTTTTTCAAATGCATTGTCACTCTTAAATGAGCCTTTGGAACGTTGTTTTGTGGTTAGTAGCTACACATTGAAAGAAACACCACTAATTAATCATCTCCTATGCCATGTTTGTTGGGGGATGATGGGTCATGTCTTTTTCTCCAAAATTGTTTTTGCTACCTCTTGAGCCTCTGATGCTAAATCCCCTGGGACTGAAAGAGCTAAAGAAAGAAAAAAAAAAGAATAATTCTTAGTTATAATTCTTCTTCTTCTTCTTCGTGCTCACCACCTGTAAACTCTGGCAGAAAGTTCTGGTTGTTTATCCACTTGTGGACTGCAGTCCTGTTCCAGAACCTGAATTTTGTGTGTGCATCTGTTTTACAGATCTGACTCATTTGTATGCGGATTGCTGGTTCCTTGCCTCTCAGGCAAATACACTCTGACTTTGAAGGAAGCTCCCAGTTAGTCGACTCTTAGGACATGCTTTTGGGTAGGCAGTGGGTCTATTCTTTCCCCCCCCCCCTCCCCAAAATAGAGCCCTGGAACCCACACAGAGAAGTTATATTTAAATGTAATATCTCATTGCTGTAGGCCAAGAAAGAGGAAACATACTGACATTCTGCATGTTGTTTGTGGTGAACATCAAAGACAGTTGACTCATAAACATCATCAGTTCTGAGATACTGAAATATTTACGCCATATTATTAGATCAATAGTGGCTTATCACAAATAATGCATGCACTGCTGTAATGCTTGTTTCCTAGAGGAAGAGGCTTTATCCGACCATCACAGAGATGGACACAGAACTGTAGAAATGTTGTATGTTGTATTAAGAATCAACATGACAGCACTCAGGACACTCCCATAAGTGCTCAGTCCCCCATCTTACCAGCAAGCGAAGAGTTCCGATTCCGATGGTTCCAGTAACTGTCTGATTGTACATCTATCTCATTTTTAAATTAAAAAACAAATTTTATAAACATTTTCTAGACAGCTTAGATTCCATTTCTTAAATTTTTGAAAACGTTTCATTTTTTTTCTTGTCCACAGGCATTGCAGTTTGCCTATGAACAACAAGCATTGGCAAACTTAAATGGGTGAGAAATGTGTTCTTTTCATTTTCCTATTAGAGATCATTAGTGCATGGACAAACAATAAGCACAGTGTTTACGACCTAAAAAGAGGCTTGCTTTAAAAGTACTGGAAGGTTTTGAAAAAACACCTTCCTGGTCTCAAGACTCAACAAAGGGAAAATCCCAACTGCACCTCCATGTGGTAGAGGAGGGTAAACGCACTGTTGTGGGGCCAATCGAGCTGTGGGGATCAAGTATCCAATGGGATAAGCGGATGTTTCTGGGGTGCTCTCTGTTAGCAAAAGTATTACAGATCTGGGTACTTACTAGCCCTGGCAATGTAAAAGGTTACCAAAGGCTGAGAATGTAGTCTAAGGCTATGTGGATGTGGAAAGCAAGGGAAAACTAACACATTGTTATCCCAAGAAACCTGTCATAAGCACAGTATTTACCTTCTATCGTAAAAGACCTTAACTACAAGGAAGAGTGTCTAATAAACATCATCTGTTTTGAGAAACTGAAATAGTTTGGCCAAATAAGGTGGATTGGAAAGAATAGTAGTGGAAATCATGGTGGCAGGAAAGAGGGGCAGGCGCCAGCCAGCATGAAAATGGACACCACATATAAGAGACTGCTTGGGTAGGAATGTACAGGAGATGGGAGATCTAGCAAGATATTCTTTCAGGCAGACTGTGATGAGAGTAATGGTCTGTGAAGGACCTTCTGCATGATGATGTTGCTTTATCATCTCTCTTTTTTTCCATGTATAGTGAAAAAATTTGACATTCAAAAGACCCAAAGAGAAACATCATGGGAGGATATAATGTCAACAACGTAATATATGTTGAATTAGGAATCAAAATCACAGCACTCTGGACACTCCCATAAGTGCTCCAACCCTATCTTCAGCAGCAAGCAAAGAGTTCCAATTCCGATTGTACCAGTAGCCATCTGATTGTATATCCATCTCATTCTTCCCCTGAGTGTTGAGCATCGGCCACATCCCCTGGTAACTCCTCGCAGTGCCATTTCCTCAGACCGTAATGGTCTATCTGCACATCCCCACTGTTCAATTATTCCCAAAGGGCCAAAATAGGATATGCAGATGACACAGCACTGACTACAAACAATGAACAGGATCTGCTGTGTCTAGTGAATGCAATAACAGTACACAGGAAGCAACTAGGCTTACGTTAAATTGCAAGAAAACAGAAATTATGGTCATCAAGAAAAAAGAAATATCTCAGTGACATCCATGCTAATGGCAAAACAGTTAGGGAATCGATACAACTACCTTGAAGCAATCAGAACATCTGACAGTCTCATCTATAATATTTGTGTATATGTTGATTAGTTTTAGTCTTTTCTGGTAACTTCTAGTGGTGTTTACTAATTAACAATGTATGATTATTTGTATCCAGTCAGTTCATCAGCTATGGGATGCCTACTCCAACACTTTTACCTGCTGGTTTGATCCCTAGAGGATATACATCTTTACCTGCAACCACACAGGTGACCACCTATCAAATGTCCTCCAGTCCTGCAGCCACTGGCTGGATGCCTCAGTACTTGTTACAGCCTCACCAAATGTCCCACGTAAGTTGCAGCTCTGCTTTTTGTTGTTGTTGAAGAAAAAACATCTGGCACATTCACCTAGCTTCTTAAAAAAAAAAAAAATATAATCTTTTGGTTATTATTATGACTTTGCTGCTTGGGCCAAATTTAGTCACTTAAATTGTGATCTTGTACCTTATTCAGTGACTCGGGGTCCCTGTCTGTTTTTTTTTCTACTTTAGTGCCATGTGTTGCTGATCTTTTTCTTCTTATTGTCCATGGCATGTGGCATTGGTAGTCGTGTCTATCTACTGCTGTCTGTCTCTTGTATTTTTAGTCATTTCTGACACACATGATCTTCCATACCTTCCTGTAAAACTTCCTAGCTTCTTCTCTCTTGGTCTCCCTCTTCATTTTGTCCCAGCTGTCTCCTTCTCATCACATGACCAAAGAATGTAGATTGTCTCCACCTAATATGGACAACTGGCTCTCTTCATGAGTCAGTTTCTTTCAAGACATCTTCATTGCTCAGGTTATCTGTTAAATATATTTTCATCGTTAATCTATATAACCACATCTCCACCACTTCTAAATATTTTTGTACTTAAAAAAAAAGTTGCTGATAGGACTGCAAAATTCTTCACTCATTTCTGGACTATAGAAGAATGTGTTACAGAGCACAAGAAAGACCAAGAAAATGGTGAATCTAAATCCTTGTATGAAAAAGCAAAAGACTCACTGCCCCTTGAGCATGTCATAATAAAGGTTTCAGTGAAATCAGATGTGCTGGGCTAAAAGGCATATAAATAGCAGCATCACAACCATAGATCACAAGAAAAATTACAAACCACTAATAAAAAAAAGTAACACACAAGAAAAAAAAAAGATTGATTTCAACAAATCAATTATCAACACCCCACGGTGCAGGCTCATACTAATCAAAGCAACAGACCTGGCACTAGCACATAAATGCAGCTCTTAGCTAAGGTCTGAACAGAGAACACAGTAATTCTTCTACTGGTTCCACAAATGGTAGACGAGACATTTCTACATTTCTGATTTTGGAGGTTGTACGTTAGTGTAGCAATTACTTTCTGTTTTAATTAGTTGGTTTTTATTTTTATTTTTGTATTGTTGTTATTTTTATTTGTTTACAGTAACTTATCTTAAGATCTGAAAGTATTCACTTTGGGTCCAAAAACAACTATTATAGCAGGAATGAACTCTTTTAATTCCTACCCGCTGTTTTTTTTTTTTTCAAGTTTTGAATAGAAAATAAAGATAACTTTTGGAAATAAATTCTAGGATGTTGAGGGTCTGGCATTAAAATATTGAGAATCTAAGCCCCATTAAGGCGGGAGGGATCTTCATTCTTTTGACCTAGTGAGTTCTAGTCAAAGGACATTCCAGATGTATTGTTATCAGGGTTTCTCAATTAATGTCCTATCCAGTTCCAGCATCTTTCCCCTGATTCACAAGAATATGTTAAGGGATAGAAGAAAAAGCAATAAGAACAGTTTTGATTTAGTTGTATGAATACTTTATTGCAGAGTTGTTTGAATAATTACATGTATTATCTTTAATCTACAGCTCCTACCAGCCACAGCAGTTCATCCCGATGTATCTGCCATGCTGGATCCCAATTCTCTGATGTAACCTTGCATCAGTTGTGCTTCTACACCACACAGCCTCATATTTGTGTCTGTTTGCCTACTTGTGTGTTGATATAGGGCAGACTGTTCTACTTCTGTCAGTTGCAACAATTTTTATGACTGGTTTTGAAAACAATGGATATCAACTGTTCATGATCATTTTAATGTTGATAATCTACGATAATGTGTATGCAGTTCGTGCAGCAATGTTTTTGAATTTTTTGGTGGTATATTTTGAATATTACTTTGATATTGTGACTTCTGGTTTATGAATTTTCTTTATGCATCTCTCTGTTTTAAATTACGTATCACATTGTAGCATTGAGCTTCTTTTCAACTACATAATAAGGGATGCTACTCTTATCTTAAATCTTGGAGGAAGTTGCTTCACAGAAAGTGAAACAAATTTTTAGGTCATATTCGAACCTCGTTCAGAATATCAATCTGATATTTTTGTATCATTAATTGTTTATGGTATTTATCATTCTTTTGAAAAGAATTTATTTATTTAGTGGCACACTATATGTGCACAGTTACAGTCATAATTTTGGAAAAAATGTGAAATAATTGCTCTTCAGCTGTGATAGCCTTTATTGAAGTTTTGCGTATTTATTGACTTCGTGAAAATTGATACTTTACCAGCAATGAAAGAAGTTATTTTTCTGTTAATAATTTCACTTGATTAGTACATAAATGTAATATTTCTGTCTACTTTGTTCCTCTTACATTACATTGTGGCCTTGTTATACTTTAACAAAATTTCTGGATTTATTGTTTTCTTACCTATGTTATAAATATAAACATCTGTTTGTGTGTCTCAAAATAAAGTGTACAAGTTTGGTGACATCTGCAGTTTTGTTTGTTTGTTGGAAATAGTTAAGAAGCAGACACATAATTACTTATTTTATATTTCATGACTTTGTGGACTTTGTAATTTTATTTAGCATATGTTTTTTTTTTTTTTTTTTGTTCTTTATTCTTTTAATTAAACCCATGTTATGACTTCAGGGACAGAATAGAAATAATTTTCAACTGAGAACAATTTGTTTGCAAAGTGCGCATCTTGCCCACAATATTGTCCTGTTTAATTTGATTTGGTTTCTAGAAATGCCCAGAAACTGTGTTACATTTTTATCTACTGGTTAAAAAATATACAAGTCCCTGCACACTTTCCTACTGGCAAAAGAATGTAATTGTATGCTGAAATTGTTCACTTTGGTATGTTTTCCATGTTAATATGCTAGATTCTGTAATATTTAAATGGATCATTATTTGCCAGTATTTTTTGCTTTTGTCTACAAAAAATGATGTTTGTTAAAGCCATGTTAGCAATAAATTTACAACAGAATTATTATTTCTGACAAGATCTGTGAGCTTACTCGTAAACCTATCTTCATGTGCAAAAATTTACATCTGATATCTGCCAAAAATGTTGTAAAAGGTGACAGGAGGTTGCTTAAATCGGATGTGTCTGGCTGAAAGAAAGTTATCGGAGCCGATCTGTAAAATGCAACGCTAACTGTCCTTCTAAGGGCAGATGAAGAGTTGAGTTGAGTCTAGAATTGACATCACAGCACTCGGGGCTTTACCCTACGCACTCCATCCCCATCCGTAGCAGCCAGCGCAGAGTTCAAATACTAATGGTGCCAGTCGTAGTCTTGATGTATGTCAGTCTTGCCTTTCCACTAGCGTAGTGTGCGGGCCAAACTCTCTGGTCACACCCAAGTGCATCATTCTCTCCAGCCCATAATAATCTAGTTTCTATTCTGACTTTGTTACTTGTTCCCAGAGGGCTCTGACCACGTCTATCTTGTCATGAATCAGTTCACCACCCCAGCGATGCAGATCCAGCCAATCTGTCTGCCTGTTCATTCCTCACCATGCCGGCATAGCCTAGAGAAAAGATCCAAAGTATGCTCACCACCCGAGACCTTGCAACTGGAGCATGCCACTTTGCTCAAAGCAATCCTGTTTTCATCTTTTTCAGCATTCTTTCAGAGCTCTTACAATTACGACATGTGTGTGTATCTTGTTCTCTAGCCACCAGCAAGCTGCAGTGACTGCCTCCACCTCCATTCTCATCTTAGATGTTGTGATGGGCAAATGCAGAAGATGGAAAAAATATAGTTTTGGTTGATATAAAGCAGGGCTATTCCAATGGTAGCCTGCAGGCTGAATCTGGCCCACAGAGGACTAGCAAGTGGTCCATGGATCATTGTCAGTTGTATTGTATCAAGGGTCTCTAAGTGGGGACAGGGGGAATGTTTTATGGGATGGGGGGAGTAAACTTATTTGCATAGACCTGATATAGAGCATGTCATTGAGTTTTTCTATTTTTTCTTTGACCAGGTTTATTTTTTCCAATAACTTTTCATTTGGTGGGTGGGAGGGGGGAGTCCCTATTTCGAATGTTCTTTTCTGAATCTGTTAAAGTTTCTCTTTTAAAATGCTTTCTTTGAAACTTGTTAAGAAAATGTCCTAACAATCTTTGGTTCATTTAGGAAGTCACATTATATTTATAGATTATGTTTTTTTTTTTTTTAAAATGCTGAAAGTAATATTAGGTAAAATTTTTTTTTTAATTTATAGTTTGGTTCTTATAACTCTTTTAATCCCATATTATTTTGATTTGTTTTGCTTTAAGAATTTTTTTTTAAAACCAATAAGTGTTTGAGGCACTAGGAACACAGTGAAACAAAAGGAAATTGGAAATTAAAACTGAATTATAGCGAGTTAGTTCTTTTAGTCATACTTTTAGTCTGAAATCAATCAGGCGTCCCATTTATTTTTTTTTTCAATCTGAATTTAGCCTCTTTAAAAGTAAATGAACTTGTCATTTTCCACTGTTGTAACTTCTTCTTTGTGAAACCTTCTGGGACTAAAAGAGTTAAACTTGCAGCTGACATAACTTGGTGTGTTATTTAAAATTCTTAATATCGATCAGAAATTGAAAATCTTTGCTTTGTTCACAGATTATTTTTATATATTTTTCATGAAATCTCAGTTATTAAGAAGATTGAGCTAATTAAAAAAAAAAGTTAAAACAGTCATAAGATTGTGAAACTTAAATATTTTGTCCGATAATTAGTTTTAGTGTTAAATCTAGGAATGTTCCTTACTAAAAACAATGTTTATTTTGTTGTGTTTTATTCTCTTTAATTTTTTTATCATCTATGAATTTCAATGGTTGCATGAGTGTTTTTACACAAATTTATAACAGCGTGGTTTCAAATTTGGTTTTATTTGAGCATTTTCTTTAAAGAAACGCTTGCACATACATTTTGAACATGTAAATATATTTTGTGAATTTTTTCTTTAGAGCTTTGAATTAATGAATTTTCGCCTTTGCTATTTGTTTCCTACTACTGTTTACGATTAATTTTTATTGATGATAATTTTATTTTGACTTGTCGTCAACATTTATTTGCTTTATTTTAGGCTCAGTTATCTGGTATTTTCAGTTGAATTTTTTTTTTTAAAATTAGTACCAACCAAAGAATTTTAAATCCATTTTTAAAAATCAAACATACATACCATTTTAAGTTCAAGAGTCTCCTACATGTTTACAAAATTAACATATTTTACAGGACATATTGAAACAACATGTAAATGACCATGGAAATGTTGTTTTTGATTTCTATCTACATTACAAAGAGTAATGATAATTAATGTTTAAATTTTTGAAATAACACATTTCTTGCAGAGTGAAATGATACATGAGTGGAATCACTGCTGACAAATGCATTAACCAGTACATACGCAATCTGAATTTATGCAAAGATAAAATAAATGACAAATGTTATTTTTAATAATTTGTACAGTTTCGTAGTTTTTTGGCGGAATATGTTATGTGTACATAAACTTTTAATTTGTTTCACTTTGTTTAATTAAGAAAATGAAGCAGTTTTGTTTGAAGCAACCAAATATTTTATATTTGGTCATGTTTTTACTGTTTAATGTTTCTCTATAATTCTCTTTCCATTTGTGATTGTAGAAGGGATCAGGAGATCCTAATCGAAAGTCAGTGTAAAATTTTGAATAATTTTGATAAATAAATAGATTGAAATGAGATTTTGAAAAACACATATTGAGAAGACAGCAGGACTAAATTTAATTTGAAATAAAAAATTATGTCATGGTCTGAACAAATAATACTAACCTGCCCAGTGACTGTCAATGGCACCTGCACATGGCCTCAGTTGGCTCTGTGGCTAAGTCGATGCGAAAGCTTTGTAACACTTATGAAACCCTTTGTAATGCCGGGGTGCCGGGTTCGATCCCAGCTGCGGGCCATGTGCCTTGCGTTGGTTTCGACAGTGGTATCAGGGGGCCGACCGTCCAAAAATAAATGGCAAACTACTGGATGTAAATTTGCCTAGAGAGACCACACAACAGCCAGGGACTGCTGGGGTTGGTTCTCCAACGTCCTGTAAAGAATACGCAACTAACCTTTATGATATGGCCTCAATTAGCAGCATTTCTGCATGCATGCTCGGGGGTCCAATTTTGGGGGAGGGGTGGGAAGACCCACTGCCACCCGAGCAAGCATGTTGTAAAAGATGACTAATTAGAGATGTTTATTTTAAAGTAAGAGTGAATCTACCCGAGAGACGAGGAACCAACAGTCTGCACACCTATAAGCTGGATCTGTAAAATGAATGTACAAGCTAAACTCAGAACAAAATCAAAGTCCAGAAATAGGTAAACAACTAAAACATTCTGCTGGCGTCTGCAGCCGGTGAATGCTAAGAAGAAAAAGAAAAAGATTAGCAATGTTACTTTAACTCATTCTGTTTTCAGTGGTTATTACTGAGAATATTATATGTTTGAGTTTGAAGGGATTCAAATAATAATGCTGTGTTTAAAACAGAATGTGGTAATCACTGGAATGTAATGGGTTAATGTGACAGCTGGAAAATGTTCAAGGAGTTAGGAAAAGCATATTGTGCAAGAAAACTTCAGTATATCCACAGTAAAGTATTTCATAGTAAAAGAGTTAAATCTGATTAATGAAAATGTAAATAAAAATATATTTGTGATTTAAAAAGAAATAAAGCATATAAACACATTTTGGAATCCTTATTTTTCTAAGCAGCAAGTTAAAGTTTTTCAGTCCCCGGGGGTTTAGCATCAGAGTCCCAAGGAGTAGTAAAGAAAGACATAAAATTGTCATATTTTGCATTCTTTGGGCTTCTGGGTAGGAACCTGTGAACGTAACATGCATTCCTTGGGACTGAAAGAGTTAAAACTCAGATCTATTAGTAATTAATAAACAAAGAAGTAAACCATATTTTTTGTAAATAATATTTTTTTTTCATTCACCATATCATGCAATCAGTGTTTGAAATTTTTAAATGCATTGGTGTTAATTTTTTTGCAAATTTGGTTTCGTTTGCCTTGAAACTTTCAGTTTGTATTTCATGTTAGCTCACATCAACTATGCATTAAAGCAAGGTTTGTCTTGTCAGTCAATGTTAGTCTCAGAGACTGAGGGATGTTTGTTCATGTGTTCAGGTTTTCTATCTTTGAAGTAATAATATTTTAGAAAGATCGAACAACAGCCACAACAATCATAATGTAAATGAAGAATCTAACAGCTGTACAAATATTTAAAGATTTTTTTTTTAAAACTTATATATGACACAGTATTGGATGGTAAATTTCAATAGACACTTATTAAGTGCATTAATTTAGATAATAATTAATAAGAAGAATATTAGATATCCATCTACACATAACAGAAGCAAGCACACTGTTTTATTATATACTATGCTGCTGATAAATTATTAATATTTTAAATAATTTTATTACATCTCCTTTGACTAGTGTTTTCTAAATAGGCAAGCAAAAGCAGCATTTCATAGGACAGGGAGTATTCTGTGCAATCTATCTTTGTCTTTGTTATGGTGAGAAATTAGCTTAAAATGTAATGAATTCATGAGGATTAAAGAAATAATAGAAATATCTGGGCAACCAGTTTCAACAGTCAGAAATGATGGTGCTATATTGGACACATTCTGAGATGGGATGAAGAGAGAATCACCAAACAGGCACTGGATTGGGAAAAAGTGGGAAGATGAAGATGATGATGCAGGGCACTAATATCTTTGCAAATAGGTTGAGAACTGAACTTCTGAGAAGAAGATCATTAAATACATCAGTGGCAACAATGTTCCTGAAATCTCATGCTCTAATTGTGGAAGACTTCTCAATGTGAGCGGCTCTTGCTAATCACAGTCACCATCGCCATGGGCTGTCACTTCCGATGCCTCCCTAAAGCAGAATATAACACTATTGTCTGGGAAGACAGAAAGGTGCCAATACTATCAAATATGATTAGCTCAAATTAAAACAAAAACAGTCACCGTTTCTAGAAATTGACTACTTTACAGTAGGATAAACTCAGAAGAAAAATAATGCACACATATAGTCTTTCCCCTCTGTTGTGCAATTTTTAATTATTTGAAGCCCCATCCTGGCCTTTGATACGAGTAGCTCAAAATAAAAAAAAACAGTCACCATTTGTAGAAATTTACTACTTTACAGCAAGAGCAACTCAGAAGATAAATAATGCACATATATAGTCTTTCCTGTGTGGGGTGCAATGTTGCGTTTTTGGAAGCCCCACCCTGGCTTTTGCTGGGGGTCCTGAATATAGCCGGGCCTTAAATATGGCCTACGGGCTGAAAGGGGTTTCTGGGACCTCTCCACGGGTGATCTTCATCTGCATAGTGGCACTTTGTGTCACTGGGTGTTTATCGCTTGTGTGATGTCCTGGTGGGGTACAACAAGAAAGAAAGAAATAATGCACAGAATTAGTGTGTTTCTTTGCTGTGTTTGGTTAGGGCTGGATCTATTTTCACAGTTTGTAATGACAAAATGAAAATGAAAACCATGTTTTGGTGAGCGTAATTTGAGATGATTATTCACTTGTAACTAAAAAAAAAATAACATGTAAACAAATAACAATATGATTTCACACAGTCTGTGCTATTAGGGTATGTAAAGATTGCCTAACATTCCAATTTGCCAGATTGGTTTACTTACCTCAGGGAGGTTTTCACATTAGGTCTAAAGAAACACATGATAATTTAGCGGTTTCCTGGTTGTAAAGTTTACCTATTTCTAGCAACCAAAGAAAAACAGCTGGGCAAATATATAGCAAAGTTGATTACTAAGCTAGTGTGAAAGTCTCTTATCTATTTGTTTTCTTCAAAATGTCACATTGTGTGTGGTGGTGGTAATGGGAGTTTCATGCTGTTTTTTTTTAAAACAACAATTTTGTGACTTTTTATGTTGTCTTTAGCTTTTTTTTTTTTTTTTAATTTGTAAATAAATGGCTATTGCATGTAATTACCCTGGCTTAAAAAAACACAAAAAAAAAAACAAGATTTTAAAGGAAACCCCACTAAATGCTATATTTAGTTAATATATTCACATCTGGGTTTCCTGTATGCTGTTGCAGGCATACATAGTCATATTCAGTGAAACAGTTTGGGAAGAGGTCACTGCAGAAAGGATGATATACAACATTTATGGGTCTGTGTCACAACCAAAACGTTCTCAGGATAGTACTGTTGAAATTAGTCTAGGTGTGAGGCCTGCCAGGCTAAATGCTTTTCTGTTAATGATACATTGTATAAATTTAACATAATTGTAGCAAAAGGATCTTGATGACTGTCACATGAAGGGCATCAAAGTAAACTTAAGAACACATCTTACATGATCATTCAGATTTTGCCAGTTGAAGTAAAGAAATCTGGCCTACATGAGTGGCCATGCAAGGTTAACTTTTGAATACTGGTGAAGGCCTTAAATAAGCCATATTGTTTATGACCAGTGTTGGAAAAAACACAAATAATCTTTGCTCGCTGAAAAAAAAAAAAGGAAGTATGTCTGTTGTTGTCCAGAAGTGGATGAACAACCAGAACTTTCCACCAGAGTTTACAGCTGGTGAATGCGAAGAGGTTAGTTGCGTATCCTTTACAGGACGTTGCAGAACCAACCCCAACAGCCCGTGGCTGTTGTGTGGTTTTTCTAGGCAAATTTACGTTCAGTAGTTTGCCATTGCTTTCTGGACGGTCGGCTTTCTTGATACCACTGTCGAAACCAACGCAAGGCACATAGCCCACAGCTGGGATCGAACCCGGCATTACGAAGCGTTCTCATCGAATTAGCCACAGAGCCGACGATTGCGAAGAAGAGGAAACAATTTGCTGAAATCAAATGTGTTGGGCTTAGAAGTGCTGAGCTGTAAATCAAAACACAAAGTACCAGCAGCCCTTTTCATTTCAAGACTAATGCAGAAGAAGAAGAACAAATGCTTATCTGTTTCAGGATCTCTTCTGTTTATACAATTTCCATCTCTGCTCATGAAAAATAGACAACTAGAAACCATAAATATGTTGCTTTTCATTTACTTAATTTATTTTCTTTGTGCTTGTGTGTCATTAAATTGTTTTTCTTCTAAATTGTAAGTTATTTTATGTTATCACAATGTCACTGCACACTGGGCATTTCCATGTATGCTCAGTCCGAAGCAGCAGCCACTCCCAAGGTACCTCTACTGACTGTTCCCATGAAGGCGGCATAGAAATGCTTCGCC